TGAAAGATAGTGCTGTTGAGGGAGAAATAAACCCCAGCTCAAACATTCTTCTTGTCGTAGGACTGCGTTCTTCAGTCCCATACCAATCACAATTTTTAATTGCTCACACCCTGTGATGCAAGATCAGTAGAGGGTGAACCTGGGTTCAGTTTTGTCACTTTTCTTGCCTAGTCTGTTGCTTCAGTGTGAGAGCAGCCGTGATTTTTGCACTTCACAGATTGAAGCCATGTGTGGGGATTTAAGTAATCAATGACATCTTAGGGATAGGTAGCAACCCACAGACAACTGCCTTGTTGTGAGGCTGCCCTTGCCTATCTCCAGCTGGCTTGGAGGGAAATTGCCTCTTGGTTAGAGGTTAGAAGAGATTTACAGTAAGGCAGTTTTAGATTTGGGAGAATAGCTGGTGAATGAGGTGGGTGTGTGGTCCATATGGTGCTGTGAAAGGGATTGAATGCAGGTAAGATCTGGGTCATCATGTGGAATTAAGGACTGGATGCGGCATCGGGTTTTATGTGACTTTCCTTAGGATTAGTAGGTTGGTTTTTGAGACATTTAAGAAACTTTGATTAAAGACACTGCAGGACATTGAAAGGAGTTCTTTCTGAATATACATTTTTCCAAATACTTTTATTTCTGTCCTTAAGCTTAAGCCCACACAAATTCTAGCCTGTTTGACACTGTTTGTCATAGGCACAGACATTTGGGTGAAGAACATAATGCTACATTTTGCAGTAGTGTTTTGATTCTCCCTGTTACGTGCTTTTTTTTAATATGTAAACAGTTTTGAAGTCAACTTATCCTTAGGCTATGTTAAAAAAAAAGTAAAAAGATGCAGCAACACTTATCTGGAGTCAGTTGAACCCTAATTTAGCTGTTCAATTGTTCAGTTACTTTAAGAAATAGACTTGTGAGTAATCATTAGAGATAAAAACATCTCAAAACCCCAAGTGTGTTTCCTTAAGCCTATATGGGTCACCTGTGTACTGAGCATAGATTAAAGGAAATGATAAGAAATTTGGCTTCCTACACTGATAAAGTTTGATGGAGACTTGCTTGTCCAGAGTAGAGCACTCGATTCCTTGGCAAACAAGTGTTGAGGGTTTCATTGTAGGGGTGATGATGGAAGTCAGTGTTATGGGCCAAGGTATAGAAATGCAGAGGAACTGCTCAGAAATAGGGTGAACAAGTGGAGTTTGTGCACATGTAGTACTTGCTTTCCAAACTCTGATGGATGTAGGCTTCTCTCTCACTTAAGATGAAATAATGAAAAATTCATAAGGACAAGAAACTCATTTTCTGGGACAGTAGAGGTGCAATTAGATTAATATTCAGAAGACTGTAGTCCCCACCTGGGATTTGAACTCTGGATTAGAAGATTAAAACTGGATCACCATATGCTGCTCAATCTCTGTGTGTAATTTGGTAGTTGTTCCTCTAAATAATTAATTAGATAATGCTCTCTGTCAAGTAATCAGTTTGGAGTTCACTCGAGGAGAAGTAATATAAAGTCCATCAAACCAGAGAGGATTTTATTAGGACAACCATGATTAAAGTTTCAAACTCTAAATGAGGACTTCTTGATTATGCTGTTCAACTGCAGAGGGAGAAACATTTAGTGTATTGAAAGATTACAGAAGTCACCTCCATTTTCTTTGGTTTCATCTCAGAGCAGAACAAGAAGAAAATTCACATCTTCCTCTTGGAAAAGTAAGTTTGACAAGCTTTGTGGAGTTATAAGTGGTAGACCTGAAAGTACAAGAGGCAAATCAGTCAAAATATTTTTTTTAAAAAACCTCTCTCCTAGTTTTGATGACACCATTCCATTGAATGCAGGGTTGTGTTAGGTATTTTTCCACTCATCTTATGACATTTATTGTGCTTCAGCTGAAATGATACAGAGAAAAGTGAAATCAGCACCTTTGCCTCTGATAAATAACTTGAAAATTGTAAGTACAGGTGGCTGTAAGGACAGGGAGATGCACATACTTTCTATCCCTGAATCCACTGCAATTAGCAGTGGTCATCCACTTGCCAGAGTGGAATGTTTTCTTTACTGTCATCTCATGGTGGCATTGAACAAGGCACAAGGTAATGTGAACTGCAGGGAAGGGTCTGGTTGATTTGGCTCTCAAAAATTTTCAGTGCTCTCTGCTTCATGGTGGAAGCTGTCATTTTAAGAGTGTTATTCTAGGAGAGAGAGATGTATATCACCAGCATTAAACTCCTTTTATGGTTTTTAATTAATTAATGTTTGGCTGGAAATATTAAAAAAAAAAAATTAGTTTGCATTTTTTTCTAGAAGAACAGGAAGTTGCCCCTTATTTTTGAAATTTTATACCAAGAAAGCATTTACAAGGAAACATAAATATTGAGCTAGTTCTCTTCCCATTTCACCTGGAGGAGGAAGAATAAATAAGGAATAGCAATTCCACGTCCTCTTCTGATAGTAAAATTCCATATCTTCAAATAAGCAAGAGTAAGCAGCTGTCATTATAATGATTGAAAAATAAACATTTATTATGTTGTGAATAAGTCCTATAAATCTAAACTTCCATGCAGTATGTATGGAAGTATGCTATGTATAGAAGTGTATATACTGCCTTCACAGTACAGCAAATACAGAACTTTGTTATGTAAGCAGTTGTATATAACCAGATGTACTATGGGCCACATGGGTTGAAGAGAAGCCAAATAAACTTTGTTCCTTTCTTATATTCATTTGTACTTTAGCTAGGTAAAGGGAAAAAGTTCCTGCAAAAATCTGAGACTTTCAACAAAGGAAATCCAATCTACACAACTTCTTTAACAATTAATAATAATTAGTGATAATTGCAGTTTTAATTGAAAAATTACTGAAAAATCAGAAACATAAGCAACTATGAGGCGTAAAATAGCAAACTGGAGCACACTAGGGGTTAGTGTTGAGCCTAATATTCACTTCTGTATAAATGACCTAAAATAATAAGAGAACTTAAAAATCAATCAAATTCACAGATGGTATCCAGAGGCTTCAAAGAAAGCAGAGACAACAGATAAACCACCAAATAATCTAGAGAGTTTATAGAAAAAAGGAGCATTCAAGGACAAGATGCAACTTTGATACATGTAAGGTTCTTTTGTGGATTAAAAGAAGGCTAAAAATGCAAATATGTTCACAGAAGAACATGGACACTGATTTCATCAGGAGACAGGGACAGTTTTATATAACTGCACCTCACATCCTGTAACTAGAGGCAATTAGTTTAAATTCTATTTAAAGCAGTTTTTGGTCTTACAAGCTCTGTGCCTGAAGTCTGCAGAGAAGCTGTTTTGTTTTCGGATGCTGCTGGATTAAGAGAGCAAAACTTTTGCATCTGTTATTCCCAGTTTTTTCAGTACTTGGATTTTTAAAGGATGAGGTTTGGCTGATGTTATGTTTTGACATTGGTGGGAGACTCACCTTCTACCAAAGGCTTAAACAAAATCAATTTGCCAGTGAAACTTGTTCAATTTGCATCCATATTTGATGTGGTGGGTCTGTGTGTGGCTAAATGTATCTTTATCCACCCGTGTCTGATGTTTGCTTCCATATCTGCAATATAACCTTCTTGTTTTGATTGGCACACATAGGGCTGGTTGGAAAAGGAGTTGTATTTAGCACAGAGCTGTAAAACTGCACGAGTTTGTTATCCTTGGATAAAGGACAAGTAAATAATATTCTGCCAGATGAGCAGGTAGCCAAGAAACAGATGACCAAACTGATTTCTGGGTAGCAAAGGACATTGCTGGAAAAAGGGCACTAGTACTTATAAAAGGAAAAATATTATTTTACAAGCAGCCTTGCTTTGATTATCAGAGAAAAACAGATGTAACTTGACTGCAGGGACCAGAAGAGATGGGGCTTCAGCAAAACCCTGGAGTCTCTGTGACCACCAAACGTATCAAAAACGTGATGGAAAGACCGAGGCAGTGATTCAGATGTTGCTATTTGTTAAATTCAATTTTCTGTATAGCTTTGTTTCATGCACTGACTGAATAATGTGAATTTTTTGTTTTTAGACAAAAGTTGGCAAAATTTTATGTGCTTCTATTTCTGTGGATCCCTGAAAAACAAAATAAACCAGTTCAACTGTAAAGGTAACTGCATGTATTAGAAACTTGTGAAGTATTTTAGTGGGAATATGGAGGAAATCAGACTGTGAAATGAAGCTGCTTGTGATCTGAGATTATTGTTATCCTCCCAGGGGGAAGGCTGTGGGCAGCCACTGCAGAGGCCATGTGAAGTTGGGTAGATATTTAAGAAATAAACAAATAGGGTCATTAGTAGTAGTAGTAGTAGCAGCAGCAATAGTATTATTATTAGTAATAATAATAAATATAAATTCTAAATATAGAATTAGTAATTCAATGTGTTTTTTTTTTTTATAGTTTGACAGATAGTCAAAGCACTGTTGCTGCAGGAACATATACACCTTTACATTAAACATGGTTATCTGCAGGGCTGATGGTGGGGAAGGCAAGTCTGATCATAATCTGAAGGGCCTGTGGTTCAGGTCTGCCATTATTAGCCCAGATTCATAAAAGCTTGAGGATCCCTAAATGGGACTGAGTAATTTCACATATTAAATCCTAAATTTTGATCCTTACTTGCCATTCCTTAGGCTAGGTCTTTAGACATACAGATTTTCATACTTCTGTTCACCAAGTATTGAATATTTTGTTTCTGTGCACACAAACAGCTGTTAGAGCAATGGTTAGAAACCAAGCTTCTATACTTCTGATCAAGTTTCCCAGTCATTGGTTAAAAGATTAGGCAGCTTTTCTCTAGTCCACTGATTTTTTTAATCACTTTTTATCCAGGAACATGATTGCAACAGGAAGGGAGAGGAACATCCTGAGTATAAAGCCTGCAGCAGGATAGTTGAGATAGCAAGTAAGACCTGTACAATTTAGTAATTTGGCTAAAATGGAAACCTCTTGCTTCCCTTTCACACAGGCAATGACTTTTCTCTGTGTTACACAGGCCTGAGCACAATGCACAGCTGCAGTGCAGGAGAGGACTCCAGGCTAGAAGTTCCAATCTGATGCTAATCACAAAATCCTCGAGGTTAGAAAAGACATTTAAGATCAAGGCAAGCTGTAAGCCTAACACTGCCAAGTCCACCATAAACCCTGTCCCTGAGTGCCACATCTACATATTTTTTTCAATATCTTCAGGGCTGGTGACTCAACCACTTCCCTGGGCAGACTGTTCCGGGGCTTGACAAACCTTTTAGTGAAGCAATTTTTCCTAATACCCAACCTAAACATCCCCTGGCATGACTTTGAGCTAATTTGACTGTGACTTGTGGCCACACAAGTGGTGGGCTCTCAGGTGGGTACCTCTCTGAGGTGTTTCTCAGCAAGCCCTGGAGCATCCTTGCTCCCAGCTCTACCTGTTACAAATCTGGTGGAGCTGGGAGCAAGCACCCAGGCACCAGGAAGGCAGACACTGCAATGGCTGCTGCTGCAAAACCTGAACCCCTTAACACCTCTAGCCCATGTGTCTCTGACTTACTGTGCAGATAATAGTGTAGAAGGGATGCAAAAAAACCAGCAGGTTACTTAGGCAATGCAGTAGCAGAGAGAAGGTGAGGATAGCAGACCTCTCTACAATTGCATTTGGCTTACTTTTCATTCTTCACAACAATGGGACATCTGTACAGTGGGATGGAAATTTTCCCCATTTCCAGGATGCCACCTTTTCCAATGCAGTTTTTGTTATTTTCCTCCTTGAAACCCTTCTCTTGTGCCATGTCTTCTGGCTGCTCTGTGGACCATGCAGACTGTGAGACGTCCGTGCTCACCTCCCTCCTGCTGGCAAGAAAGGAACACAGGCTGCAGAGGAGCTGCAGAGGAGTGGGGCTGGTAGGATGGATGTGGCCCAACAAACCTTGTTCTCTGTCAGCATCCTGCATTTTTGAAGCAGAGGCCATGAACATTGGCCTTTTGTGTGTTCTCTGGAAATGGCTGCCGTGAGACTCCCAGTTCATCACAGCGTGAGCCGGTCACAAGCGTAGACTTGGTGCACAGCATGAGCTCCTGCACGATGAACCTCATTTCTGCAAACCCCTATAAATGTTTGGTTATGCATTTTGAAAGGTACTTAATTTTTCAATAACTATAATTCTATAACTTCATTCCATAATATGTTATAGAAGGAGTTTGACCACAGCTAGCTGTTTGAAGTACAGCTTTTATGGCTGAATTGTTGTTGAAATTATAGTTTCACCTTTAGTGATAAAGGACCTCTGGATCTACCAGCCTGAGTGATTTCATGTGCTTTTTTGGCCTATACCTGTTAATAGATTTCAAAATCACCATTTTGATAAAATGTCTCAAGGAAGATTTTTTTTTTGCAGATTTGTTTTTCATATTTTGTTTTTCTCTGGTGATTGTAGCAAATCTAACTGGTTTCAATTTAATTAAAGTATCTTAACTTGGCAGGGCAATGTAATCATAAGATATAGGGGTTTTCAAATATAAAAAAAATGCAAATGCTTATTGTGAAAAACGAATCTTATTTATTTCAACTGAAATTACAGGCTTTTCTCATATATTTAAACTAAGTTTTAAATCACTAAGGGCTAACTATATTGCATAATTAAGCAAATCCTAGAAGGTTCCAGTTATTTTACTGGAACTTGAAATGTATTTCATGCTTTCTAAAATGTTTTCTCAATATATTGGCTTCTTCTTCTAAAATAGCAGCTGGGAGTAGAGAGCAGTGAATCCATATTAAATCTGAGTTGAACTATATTCTTCAGAGATGTACAGTATTATTTTTAACTGATGCATTCATGGCAACACTATAATCTCACCAGAGCTACTGGATCATGTTGTTCTAGGGCTTACTGTGTTTTATGAAGTCACTGCCTCTCAGCCTAAGTGCATCACTCTTTTGATTGACCTCCATATAAAAGCTGTCCATACTTTTAGAGTTACAGCCATAAGCGCCCTGACATAGAAGCATATACTCGGCTCTTTTCAGAAAAATTACCTCCTTTTTAGAGTATTTTGACAGAACCTCTTTGGAAGAGTGAACATGGAGTCAGCAGAAACTCCATCAAGTGATGATGTCTTTGCCCTCTCAATGGATGATGTGCTTGGGAGTGAGAGAAGATTTTCAAAAGGTTTCATTCTATCTCAGTGTCTGAAAGTTCAGGTTCACAAAAGCATTTCTCATTGTTCTAGAAAGCTCAGACAATCTTTTTGTTTTATCTGCTAGATGATCTCCAGCCCTGCTGAAACATCCTGAACATAGGGTAGTTAGATATTTCTGGTTCTGAACTCTAAAGATGAGGTCTCCAAGAAGTATCAGATAATGAAAGAGAAATAATTTCATCTTTGGAAAAGAAGAGGGTTTTTTCGGGTTTCTTACAAAGTTCAAGTATTTTTCAAGCTTTGAGTATCAAAGTGCTGTATTTTATATATCTCTATATATATCACACTTCTTTACTGTGCATGTGACCAAGCGCTGGAGCAGATTGCCCAGAGAGGTTGTGGAATCTCCCTCACTAGAGATATTCCAGACCTGTCCAGATGCCTTCTGCACTCTGGGATGATCCTGCTTGAGCAGGGAGATTGGACCTGATGACCCACTGTGGTACCTCCTGACCTGACCAGTTCTGTGATTTGTGACTTATAGTGCTTGCTCAGTGTCATAAACACATTGAGCAACTCAGCTGAACAAGGCAGAGCCACCTCAGAAAGGTTTCTAAAATAATGACACAAAAACAATTTTATGTGTTCGCTATTTTGAGGGGATTGTTTGGTTAGTTTGATGTAAGACAAGTTCAAAGATTACGAAGAATAAGTGGTCAAACTTCAGCAGGAATTTAAATGTAACAGAAATCTCTGTCTGTGCTTCCTCAGTGACACTCCAGCTGGGACACTGCATGCAAATATCAAATTGCTTCTTAGAGTGAGTTATGAAAAATTGGACAGAAAAAACAGCAGACTGGCACTGGTAGGCTTGATCTTTAAATTCTTCCTTTTCAAAATACTGCTGAATCTAGATGGCCATGAGAAAGGGTCATCATTGCTGAACTGTCATCTTTACAATAAATTTCAATTTTATTCCAGAGGATGCTGTGGCAAAATTTTTGCCATAATGACAATTACAGAGTTCTAGTTTTCAATAGTAGTATTAAATACAGAACACAAAGAGAAGCTCAAGTCGTACTTGAAAGTGCTTCACCAGCACAAGACATTCAAGACAAGAAAATATTGGTTTGAAAAATGGGAATTGATTTATCTGTTCAGTAAAAAGTCTTGGAAAACACCAAAACTACAGTTCATAGAGAAAGAGAAAATAGCTATTCAGTGCCCTCTGTGCCTTTTCTTAACAAAGGGTTTGGGGCACCCTTCCTCCCACTACAGTAGTGCTTGGTGCTATAAAAATGTGGCAGTTTTGGGCTTTGTTTTGGGTTTGGTGGGAGGTTTTCAGTTGTTTATTTGGGGAATTCTTTGTTGTTTTTTTGGTAATGTACTTCATGGAGATGCCTAAGCAATATTCTGGTCTTGAGATATCTGGGCTTATACATTTGCATGCCTGGAATATTGTCTTGGCATCCTTGCCTTTATGCAAAGTGAAGTGAAGCATTGCCTCAAATTTAACTTAGCTGCAAGAAAGGCAGTTTTATTTGTAAGTGAAATTAAATTAATATATGCACTCTGACATGTCTCAAGGCAAGTGAAAGTCTTTGTTTTAGACATATTTACATAATTTTCTATGCCTTTTGCATCTTGTTGTCATTCCACCTTATATTTCTACATTTCCTGTATCTCAGAGAACACACAAATGGAAAATGAAGCTAAAAAAGCTTTGAAGAAAAGCTTTAAAAATCTTCTATTTGGATTCTGGAAAATAGCTCATTAATTACAGCTGGAAATATGAAATGTGAAAGGCTGCCAGCAGAGTCAGCTCAGGTTTGTGACAATGATCATTTTATGACTTGCATCATGTCAATCTCCCAGTAGATTCCCTCGTGCTCCCAGAATAAGTTAATAGTGAGTAAATGACTTCTTACAGTTGCCAGGTAGCTTGGAGCACAGTGTTGTGTACTAAAATTATGTTTATTTCCATATTCTTGGATCTAGTTTTAGTTTGCCTGCCTGGCATCAGAGCTGCGAGATGAGTGACCCCACGTTCCTACTCCTTGTTTTGTATTTGAGGATGATGATACAGCCAAAGCATGTTGAAATTACAGCTCCCATCTATCACATGGTAAGTACCATCCTCACAAGTCTTGTTTGGGCAGACTGGGGACACAGTTTGGAGGTTTGGAAAGGTAAAGTTCCCATTAATGCTGACAACATTCCTGCCACTCTTAATTTAAGGCAGGAACCTGTTAGAATGGGAGACAAACCAACCCTATTTCATGAGGAAGGTGGCTAAGTGGCAGGATCAAAATGAGAGGGTAAGACAGACCCCAAACCCCTGAAGACCACATATTCTGGGCTTAGGAAGATAGTGAGTATTGAGGGCCAGAAAAATAGTAGAGAAAAAAAAAAAAGATGTTTCATCTAGTAGAAATAAATAATTGCATCAATAAAAGATAAATCTTTAAATCCAGCTTATACAGGTTGTCAATAACAACATAATCTCTCATTTTTATTGCTGCTATTTAATAACTCCTAAGTAGGAGTAGCTGCAGATGAGAGCTGTTGTTCCTTCTATGTCTGCATTTCATTATTTTGATCTTCTTTAGTTAAAAATGTGAAATGTGAGTAGATCTGACACTATAATACATTGCTACATCATGCTAGTAACTCTATCATGGCAGGGCTGGGACCTGCAGAGTGCGCAGAAGTGTAAAGTCTCGATTTAGATAAATGAAGTACTTATGTGCAACAGTGCTTGCAACAATAATGTTATCTGAGAACGATAGCTAATGCATATGGTACAATTTTTATGAAATGTATGAATCATCTGTCTTTTGGGGAACTCATTGTAGCTTCCTTCTCCTGATTCTGTGTTAATGTAGCAATATAATTTCTGTTTCTCATGCATTTTTCTCAATGGAAGAAGAGCAGCAATCACCAGCATTTAATAATCACAGCCTTCAGAATGCAACACGAGCTACAAAAGCATACAAATAGGCTGGGAGCATGCAGAGTTACGGAGGAAGGAACAGCGTGTTCCTCAAAATTTGCAAGCACCCTTTTGGAGGACTGCTGTGAAGGAGAACTGCCATGGAGGTTGGCACCAGTCCTTGTGCCAAGGCTTGCTGTGGATTATTCTGGACCAATGGCTTCCCCAGCAGTAGATGCTATTGAGATTTCTCACACAGCTTTCATGCTCCATCCTTTGGAAAATCCTTGGAACGTGTTCTGGCTATCAGGGAGTGAAATTTTTGGGTGGGCTGCTTGCCTGGTGTATAACAATCTGGGCAGAATGGATACCTTTGGATTTCTACAGTTCAACTAGCAATTGATTTTCTCTGGAGACAGAATTAGGGTTGCCAAGACAGTTTCTTGGCCCAGTTAGCATTTACACTGTGGGCTCGCACTGGAAAGCCATGCAGGCATATCTGGGGATGTCTTCAGTCAGCATAGGGTGGGTTGACTGTATTGTTTGACCAGGTTTTGTGTGTGTCTTTCATTTGTTTATGCCTGCAAATAGACCATATCGTCAGTTCCAGATTAAAACCTTATTGAAAAACTATGATTGCTTGTTTTCCAGGAAAACTATGAAAATTGTGAATAATCCCTGTTACATTTTCTTTTTCTGAAGGATATTTATTAATGTTTTGTCCAGATTGAACAAGGAAAACCTACTCTTTTTAATTTCCTATTCCACATCTACTAAGGTAATGGCTACCAAAGTAGAACAAGAGTGGCATAACACAGCAATGTTTGGCATTGCAAAATCCCAAGAGGGTTGAAATCTCAGCAACCTTTTCCCATAAAATAAATAGCTTAAATTTAAAATGAAATTAAGCATATTGGAACAAAGAGTAGAAAGAAGGGGTAGAAAGAATTGATACTGCTTATGGTGGCGTAACATTTTCTAGATTGAACTGATTCATATTTCAGAAAACTCTGAATGTAATTTGGGTATTTATATTATGAACTGCAAAGCCTGTGAAGTCAGTGCAGTCCTTCTGTTGTCCCAGTGGTCTGTGAATTAGGGACTTGCTGGAGATCTGGATTAGCCTGGCTGCGTGCAGAAAACATTCTTGCATGTTCAAATCCCATTTCACCTTTCTCATGTCTCATTCTCCCCTAAGCACCATTGCCTGTTTAAGGATCATAATAACAAGAACTGCAAATAAGCCGTGTTTTTCATGTTGTTTAATTTTTTATATATGGAAAACACAAGGATGACTGAAATGGTAGTTCAGCCTGAAATGTAACCAATGTAACCAAGTCTCCCTGATGTCTAGTTAGACTAATCAGAGGAACTTCCTTTTTTTTTTGGCACTTCTTATTGCTTGACTTTAGTGATATCTCAAAACATGCATTTGAGACAGTCTCTGCCATGCCACTACTTCTTGAGAGCAGATTTAATTTCACTTTGGCTAGGAGATTCAGTGTGCCTAACATCGGTGCTGAAATCCCTCATGCTGTCAAAGACTGGAAAATAATCTCTTCCCTATACCTTCTGCCACATACACAGATGTAGAAACATATCCTGGGGCAAAATCCTGAGCATGCTAAATCCAGCAGTGCCATTAAGGTTGGGATGGAATAGCATAAACATGTATCATCCAAATCTGTATCTATATCTCCAGTACAGGTAGGATTTATTGCAAGAAGAAAAACAAAGTAAAAACACAGCTGATAATTTGATGAATTTATGTTTTTTGAATGAAGAAGAACTAGTTATCACCAAAGTTACCTGGATGATAAGCTGAATGTTCTGCTTATTGCTTTGATATATTTGATTTCTTCAAACTGAATTAGTTCTAGTTTTGTCATAAATAATATCTCTTTTTTAATAAAGATTTTCTTCAAAGCTTCCAAGTGAGATGAAATTCATTAGACATATCCAAGGATGTTGATTCTCACTGGTCAGGACTTGAAATAGGTGGGTATGTTAACCCTATAGCTGATTCCTGTCCCAGCCACTGCCCCATGGCAGAAGGTGATACTTATGCACTTTCTACTTCTTCCAAATACCATACATGAACAAAATGAATCTGTGCTGGTTTTATTTGGGATGGAGACAATATTCTTCATACAAGCTGATATGGGTTACATTTTGGACCTGTGCTGGTGAGAGAGGTGTTGGTAACACACCAGCATTTTTATGTTATTGCTGAACAGCACTTAACCCAGAGCCAAGGCCTTTTCTGCTCCTCACCCCACCCCACCGGTGAGGAGGCTGGGGGTGAACAAGGAGTTGGAGGGGATACAGCCAGGACAGCTGACCCAAATGGACCCAGGGGATATCCCACATTGTATGGTGTCATGCTCAGCCTACAGGGCTGGGGCAAGAAGGGAACAGGTGATGTTTGGAGTGATGGTGTTTGTCTCACCAAGTCACCATGTGCTGGAATGTGACTTTCCTGGAAATGGCTGAACACCTGTTTGCCTGTGGTAAGTGGTGAATTATTTTCTTTGCTTTATCTGTTCAGCTGTCTTTATATCAACCTGTGAGGTTTGGTGCATTTACCCTTCTGATTCTTCTCCCCATGCTACTGATGTGAGACTGAGTGAATGGCTGTGTGAGTCTGAGCTGCCTGCTGGGCTTATACCACCACAGAATCAATTTCACACACTTTTTACAAGAATAGATGACATGAGGTTATTAGCTCAAGGTTGCAAAATGAGGCAGTAATGGGTGCTGCTGCCCGTTGGGATCTCAGCTTATCTATTGAGCTATCACAGTCGTGATCCTTGGCCTGAGTAGCTGGCAGAACTGTGCAACAGAACGTGGCAGGAAAGGATACTGTCAACTTGAAGGAAACATCAGATTCCATCAGTTGAATCTTATCAAAAAGAAAAACTGGAACC